CCGACCTCACACCTTATCCGCCTGCCCCGCTCAGCCGCCCCTTCCCCACCGCACGCCCTGTTCCTAAAAGGGCTTTTAGTCAAGCTGTTGTTGGTGTTTACTTCAGTGATCACCGTGTACTTAATCAGAAAAAGGCAAAAAAAATAAAAAATAAAAATAAAAATAAAAATAGATAAAAGCCCAAGTGAAACTTTTCGCCTGTTAAAGTCTTTTGCAGGCTTCTCAGGTTGGGTCTCATCTCAACTTCTAGCCAGTCACTCGTGTGTTTTGCATGTTCTGCGTGAAACACACACAAGCCCTTCTTTTTAACTAGGCAGGACGCATTCCTCACGTCAAAGCCCTTAGCCTCTCATTCCACAATGAAGAAATCCTCCGAAGCCGTTTCCACCGCTGCGAACTTTGAAAAGGACACACACTCCGCCCTGTAAGGCGCCCCCTCCCCAGCCTCACTCCGCCGCACCCGTGGATTACTCAGTTTTTACTTTTCCAACAGGTCTCCAAAAGTTTTGATCAGAATTCTTCAGTCTTACAGTCTCGTTTGGAAGGCTGATAAGACTCTCCAAACCCACGGGTTAAGCGTTGCGTCAGGCTACTTGGGTAGGGCACGTACTGTCCCTTCGTCCTTGCCGAGGATTCAGTACTTTCTGGCTGCCCACAATTTACGACATAGTTACGGCCAGTCCGTTCTCCTCCCTTCCGTAGTGCTCACCCTGAAACAAACAACAGCGTACCCCTACGGGTGGGACAGGGCTGGCGGGGAGCCCTGCTCGGGCGCAGGCAACCGAGGCGCCCGGGACGCCCCGCCCGCAGGTCCGGCAGCGAGGGGACCCCAGCCGAGACCCGGGGGTCCGGCTCCCGCAGAGCGAAGTCCCTTTCCTTCCTGTTGCTTCGCCAGTTACCAAAGAGTAGCAGGCAGAAGCGCATTAAGGTGAGGACTGTGGGGGCGGAAAAGACAGTCAGAGGTCAGGCGACGACCCGAGCGTCCCCAGAGGTGTGCAGAACATCAGAGCAAACGCAGCCATGCCTCCACCCCGGCCTTGGCCCAGCCGTCCTGGACGCGCGCCGCGCGCCTGTCGTTACGCTCTGGGGGCACAGACAACGGTCACACAGCACTGACAACACGCGGACGACACCGGCGAGGTGCACACCAACACACTCAACGACACTGCGAGGCGGCTGCCAACCTGGAGCGGACAGGAAAAGCCGGCCGGGCTCCCGGCCTTCTTCCTCCAAAGCACGTTACCCAAACGTCGCAGTTTGTGTCCAGACTGTTCCTGCTCCACCCTAAAGACTATGTGAACGCAGCAGCCCTGGATGCGCGCGGGTGGGCCGGGAGGGAAGCCTCGGCTTCTGGGTCCCGTCGGTTTTATTTCGGGAGCGGGAGGGGGAGGAGGGAGGGCTGCGGGAGGGGAGGGGAATCCCAAATTAAAATAACCCTCAGTTATGAGGATGTTCAGTGGCATCGGATATTCAAATCAGCAACAGTCACATCACATTCGCCTTCGCCAGATGGCGGCGGGTTCAACTTCCCGGGATCTCGCCAAGTCAGGCTGTGCGCCCGAACGCGCCCCGGGGTGTCAGGACCCAGGCGGCGGGGCCGGGGCGGGGGGCGCGCGCCGGGCTCACCGGTTTCGGACGAGGAGGTCTCCATCCCCGGGGAGTGGCACCGGGCAGTCCCGGCGAAGGGTGACTGCCTCGCGGAAGTTGGGGCTTAGCCGGGTCACCACCAGCTTCTGCATGGCGCAGGGGATGGCGGAGCCCTGGAAGTCCAGGAAGTGGCGGGCGTACGACATGTCCACGATGGCTCGGGCCCCGGCGAGCGCCAATCGCAGCATAGCCCGCGCCTCCACCCGCTTTTTGCGCTGCGGCAGGCTAAGGTCGCGCCCAGCCCGGGCCTCCAGGCTCGGCTCCC